TTTCTCTCTCCTCTCCTTTCTCCTTCATTCGTTTCCTACTAAGGAGGGCAGAGCGGGATTCTCTCTTCTTTCCTTCTTTCTCTTTCTTTCTCTTTCCTTCTTCGTCGCTTCTCTCCTTTCTCCCTCCTTCATTTCCTACTACCTCAATCCTCTTTCTATCCCCCTATTCTACTCGTGCTGCCAACTATTAGCCCTTTCTCTCTCTCTTTCCTTCCTTCCCTTCCTTACATTCCTTCTGCCTTCCTCATTCTCTTGTTGCTTCTCTCCTTCTCCTTCTTCCTCCATTATCATCCTCTTACTCTTACTCTTCCTCTTAATCTCCTCCTTTATCTTTCCTCTTTAACTCTCTCCTCCATTACTGCTCCTCCTTGCCTTAATTCTTCTCATTTACCCTTCTCCTATTCTTTCCTTCTCCTTTCCTTTCTTTCCTCCTGCTTTCTTCTTCTCCCTTTCCATTACCTTTTTTCCTCTACTTTCCCTTCCTCTTTCACCCTCTCCTTCGTGCCATTATTTCCCCTCTTCCTATTCATTTCCTCTCCCTTTCCCTCTTCCTTTCCCATTCTTTCCCCTTTTTTCCTCTTCCTCCTACCCTCTTCCTCTCTCATTCCTTTTCCCCCTTTTCTTTCTTTCTTCTTTCCTTTATCTTCTCACAACTTCTCTCCCTCTCCCTTTTCCCTCCTTTCCAACCCTCATCCTCTTTCTCTCTCATTCTATTGCATACTTTCCCTTCCTTCTCTCCTATTTTTTATTCCTTCTCCCCTCCTTTCCCCTCTTCCTCCTTTCCCTTCCTTCCTCCTTCTCCTCCTTTCCCTTCCTTTCTTCTCCTCCCTTCTTTCTCCCCTTCCTTCCCTTCCTCCTCCCCTTCTTCTCCCTTTCCCTTTTCCCTTCTTTCCCCTCCTCCTTCACCTTCTTCTTACCTCCAGCTTTATCCCTCCTTTCCCCTCCTTTACCCTCCTCCTTCACCCTTCTCTTTATCCCCAGCGTTTATCTCTCCTTTCCTTCCTCCTCCCCCTCCCTTCCTTTTCCCTTCCCTTCTCTTCTCCCCTCCTCCTCCCCTCCCTTCCCTTCCTTCACCCTCTGCTGCTTTCCCTCCCTTCCCTCCCTTCCCTCCTTCTCCCCTTCCTCCCCCCCTCCCTTCCCTCCTTTCCCCTCCTCCTTCACCCTCTCTTTACCCCAGCTTTTATCCCTCCTTTCCTTCCTCCTCCCTTTCCTTCTCCCCTCCTCCTCCCCTCCCTTCCTTTCCCTTCCCTTCCCTCCTCCCCTCCCTCCTTCCTTCCCCCCTCCCTTCCCCTTCTCCTCCCCTCCTTCACCTTCTCCCTTCCTTCCCCTTTCCTCCTCCCCTCCTCCTCCCCTCCCTTCCCTTCCCTTGCTCCCCTCCTCCTTCACCCTCTCTTTACCCCAGCTTTTATCCCCTCCCCCGCTTTCCCCTGCGATTCCGTGTTCCTTCGTTGCTCGAGACAATTCCAGCTCTACCGGTAAGGAGCGCCCAAGCTTCTGGGAACCATTAAGGGCGATGATGCAGTGGCCCGCGATGGTAAATACGCCCTTCGCGAGCTACTTAATGAGGCTGCCGATTACGTAGCTGCAAATATTAGGTTATTTGACCGTCGGTGATGATGCTGTTGTTGTTGTTGTTGTTGTTGTTGTTATCTTTTTATCCCGACATGGAGTGGTTAAGGATGAGTGATGGGAACGGATATGGTGCGCATTTCTGTGGAAGGAGGGGAAGGAAAGAGGGAGAGAGAGAGATAATAAAGAAAGGAAGCGGGGAGAGAGAGGGATAATAAAGAAAGGAAGAGGGAGAGGAAACAAGGTTGTAGGTTTACGTAAAGGAGTGTCAGGGAGGTTTTGCTCAGCGCTATGTGTTTGTGCATGAGTGTGAGAGAAAGAGGAAGGGAGAGAAAGAGGAGGGAGGAGAGAGAGAGGAAGAAAGAGAGAGACAGACAGACAGATAGGCAGAAGACAAAAACATAAACAGACAGACAGAAAGACAAAGACATAAACAGACAGACGGAAAGGCAAATACATAACAGATAGACAAAGACATAAACAGATAGGAATAGTCCACAATACTAAAGAGACCCAAACATTTTTGGAGCCGAGAGCGAATATCCCAATACACTACAACATCAAATAGAGGAGCACTTCATAGAGGGCCAGTGCGCACTGTTAGGGAGATCAGAGATGTATGATGGGGACTACTATAGACGACGCTCAAGAGCTGAACAGTGAGCTTACTGATTACGATGACCCGACGATAACAGTATGAACAGTCCATGAGCCCAAACAGCTTCACTTTCCGACATGGAAAGCCCTTACGAACCCGATCGCCAGCAGGCCCTGTCCTCCGGCAGACACCATGCAGAGCGAGCAGCCACCCAGCAGCCTGTTCCCAGACAGGCATTCCGACTCTAATGGCCGTCCGCTGAGAGAGAGTGTGAGCAATTCGCGTGTGGATTTGTCGCGTAATCGCGCGACGACGGACAGCCGGGCTGACAGTATAGAGCGTAATCGTTCGTTGTGAGACGTGTTGCGCTGGTGCAGCCGGGTAAGGTACGCGCGGGATTACGTTCGAATCCTTTAAGATGTGAAAGAGTCACGTGCCCACCTCATACTGGCTTCGACAGGTCATTCAACTTTAGTTGTGAGGTGCCGTTTGACGTAGGGCGATGTTGGGCGTGATAGTACTGCCTCTAGGTACGACGTCCAATCGGACCCCTCGACTCCACGAGGGAGCATGCACATTTTTCTGGCCGACCTGAGCGCCCCGACATGCAATAACCGACTCGCAAGGCCCGACATCCCCGGCAGCTGTTTAACCCGAAACGGGGAACCTCGGGAGTCCTCCCCGTGAAGCGGTCCTAAATTATAGGGCTCATCCTTGAACGACGACCGATCGGCCGTCTACAGGCGACAAGCTAGCGGTATCCGCATTGTGCGTGCATCGATGAAGCGAGCCCGATCAGCCATCGTCGCAGAAACGAAGAGTCTGTCGCCAAGCCCCGACAGCATCGTGATCCGACCGAACCCGACAGCATACCGAATAACCGCCGATCCTATCCCCGACAGCCCTCCGCCCGACTCCCCAAAACTTCCGACCCGTTCTCTCCTCTCTCCTCCGTCGCCGCCGCGGAACTCGGGTGCGAGAGACACGGCTCCGACAACCTCGTATCTGAGCAAAGAGCAGGACCCAGACTAAAGATGTGTACATTGTGGTTCGCGCTCGTTGTACACGCGCTAATGTGTTCGTTCATCCCGTCTACACGTGTACACATCGGGAAGCAATCGGGCTGCTGCCTCGTGGCCCCAGTTGGCGGCTGACGGATTTGCCAACTCGGCTCGTGGGCGGCGTCTCGAACGAGGGTGGGGGGTGGGGGGGGTTGGGGCTTGGGGGGTGGGGTGGGGGGGGTGGGGAAGGGGGAGGGGTATGTGTGTGTGTGTGTTTAGATTGATTGATTGATATGTACACACACACTTATGTGTGGGTGTGGATGGGTGTTAATGTATATATGTGTGTGTGTGGTGAAGAAGAGAAGGAGAGAAGAGAGAGAGAGAGAGAGAGAGAGAGAGAGAGAGAGAGAGAGAGAGAGAGAGAGAGAGAGAGAGAGAGAGAGAGAGAGAGAGGCAGACAGACAGAACAGAGAGAGAGTAAGTTGACAAATAGATAGACAAACACAGACAGAGACAAACTGAGATGAAAGAATAGATAGATAAATGCTTATAGACATATAGATCGATAATAGTTTAATAGATTGATAAATTGATAAAATAACATTAATCAATTAACTTACTGATGGCTATATAGATAGATAATATATACATACAGATAGATATTACATACTTTTTCCTTTCTTTACTTTTTGTTCACCATCAAAACACATCTTGGTGATATTCATCATTAATACCAATTTTTCAGTCTTCATCTACCAAATTACTATGATATCACCATGTTCCTTCGTATCACCATATCGATCACAATCATCAACCTAGTCTGCATTGCCTTTTGTCACACTATCATTTTCTTTGTGTCTGCCTCCCACCTAGCTATTGTGACATGCCATGACACATGATCTCTCTATTCGTCATTATTAGTAAGACGTAATACAAAATGTATATGTAAGCACAACATCAGGACTGTGGGGCTCATGGAAGGCCAATATACAGACTTGGATCGCATGAATATATGCATCTTATAAATAACGCCTCTCTC